ATTTAAAAAAAAAATGTACAGTTGAAAGTGAAAGTTGAAGTTGGGTTAAAATTTGAAATTGTCCATATTTGACCCAAATTTGGGTTAAAACAACCCAGTGTTCTTTATAGTGCACTGGCATAGCTATGTAACCAGCAGAAAATGTCACAATCCACTAGGGGTGTGCAAAAAAATCGATTTACATTTGAATCGCGATTCAATCTTTACCGATTCAGAATCGATTCATAGAATTCCAAAAATCGATTCATAGGCTATATTTTTTTAATGGCGTGCAGGGGCGGAGTTTTTTCTCTCTCTCATCAAAACCGAATATGTTCATCACGTTTGTTTGCATTTTATTTTGTGATTTCACCGGAGTCTCCACAACGGCGATAGATTGAAGCGCGCGTCCGAGAGAAGACTGAGAACACTGTATCCATGACACTGATTGCAGCGGACACAAGCGCTCAGCTTGATTTCCAAAACAACAGGTCTCTTAGACCCCATTTACACCTGGTATTAAAATGCGATCTGTATCCAGATAAGTTATCCGGATAATAATTCCATTTACACCTGGCCACATAAATGTGTTTTTGCAAAACCGATATGAATCCGATCTTAAACTCCCGCGTATGCAGATTTAATGGATTGCACGCCACCAAAAGCAACAGATTTGAGCTGCATTTCGTTGATCATCAGGTAATTTCCAAATCAAAGACATCAATAAAAAGAGTGGCAACAGCGCTGGTAAGATAATTTCGTTTATTTACTTGAAGATGATTGTGTGTTAAGCGTCTGTGACTTACTTTCACTTTTATTTGCGATGTTTGCACGTTGGCTCGATGAATAGACGCTCAGCTGCTCATCTGCGGTGATGGGTGATGCGTGTCGCAGTAGCGCCGTCATATCTGACTATAACATGACATAGCCTATATAACAAGCTCACTCGTTTATTTTTTGCCTTTTTGGGAGGAGTAAAATATACATATGTGGTTTCAACAACCAGATTGCGTTTACACCTAGTAAAGATCCGGACACAATGCGAGCCAGACTACCTCCAGATGTGGTCAGGCAGATCCGATCGCGATCCGGTCACAACGCATTTACACCTTGAATTAACATGCGTTTTTTATTATCCGGATAACTTATCTGGATACAGATCGCATTTTAATACCAGGTGTAAATGGGGTCTTATTTAATGCGACCTAAATGAATGCTCTGCTAGTTAACTGGAGATACCCGCAAATTACGCGCCTATGAACGACTTCACTGGACCTAAACAAATCAATCTAACCATAGATGTTACCAGTAGCGGTGGCTTTTTAAAATCTATTTAAAACATTTTCGCAAGGGTTCTATGAAATTAGTATATATTTTTAGGAAGTTCAATGTGCCCAGTCGAGTTCACATTTCAACAGTCAACCTGGTAGCTGAAGTAGACCTACTCCTTAAACCACATTTAGCATAATTGTTTGTTTGATCTGACTATAGCACTTTAAAGCTAAATGTAAAAGCTTTTTATTTAAGTTTTATTTTAAACTTAAATTAAATGTATTTAAAAGCTGGCCAAAGCTTGGCACTTCGCACTTTTTAGTTGCAAAAGTTTTTATTTTTGTATGAAGACGTATAAAGTAATATCAAACTTTTCTTTTAAATTATGTCTACTGCAATAAATCACATAGGAAAAAGTAAACTACATTTATGAAGACCTGCGAATCGTTTTTTGAATCGAGAATCGTTTTTGAATCGAAAATCGATTTTGAATCGAATCTCGAGACAAAAAAATCGGTATCGAATCGAATCGTGACATTTTCTGAATCGTGCACCCCTACAATCCACACCACGCTTTTGCCGCAAAGTCAGGAATAGCAAGGACAGGATAAACTGCTGTATAAAGTTTTACACACTTTATTCAAAATTAATTTGACCTTCTTTTGCTTCCTCTTTGGTTTAAAAGTGCATTAGCCTGACTGCATGCTGTGATTCTTACATTATCGGATCATTTAATCAAGAACATTGCCGGTGCTTTCCAACCGGGGTTTGGCATTCGGATAAGCTTTTTAGTTCTAAGTATCAAGATAACGGCCTGTTTCACCCAAAATATCCCCCTTTCTGCATCCCTTGTATATTCAGCCCTATGTGCGGTTTTACACTTCCTGACACTGAAGCCGACCTCTACAGGGAAAAATGGGCCAAGTCAGCGGCAAGCGTAAAGATTAGGACACTCCAAGACATTGGAACAGGCTGAACAAAAAAACAATTGCCACCCAGAATGATCAATTACATCATTAAACCTCGAACACGGTTCCACTCCTTTATTTTTCTAGCCACAAAACATCCAAACACGCATTAATAGTCCATCTTAGAAACATCACCTATTTTAAAGCTACATCAAGGCCGATTGCCTTCTCTTATTGCAAAAGTCAAGGATTGCTAAACATCATTCGCAAGCAATTGACTTAGCAATGGCCACCTGTGCCCCATACTGTACATTCTCTGTCCTTTTTCTATCTGCTAATAAACATGAACTGCTAAGTCAAACTCTATCAGGAGTAATTTCGCTAGCTAACCACTTGAGGTCGCACTGTCTAGGTTCTGCTCAAGGTGGTCTAGAATACCTGCAGAGTATTTTAGCATTCACTTTCATATCAATGGCAGTTGCAGAGCTTTCTGGCAGAGCTTTTTACTCATAGGTACTCTCTGTTCCAGAGAGATGTTTTTGAGCCAATAGCCTGAGCCACAAATCCTAATGTGCCTGCCCTGGAACTAAAGGAAAATGGCACCACAGAAACATGCAGAGGCTTTCATTAGCGGCTATCCACAGCTGTGACAGGGGAAAAAAAGCTACAGTAATATAATTAAATACATAGGCGGGGGACAGGTAAAGTGACCATTTGACAACTTAATATCGCCCTTATTATCCAGTTTATGTTTTAATTTAAAGACATGCAACGCAAACTAAAATATTATGGCATTAAAAGTCATTTATGAATGTTGTGGTTTGAAAATAATTATAATTTTACGTGCATAGTCATTCCGTAGCTCAACAAAGCCACTGTACTGGTGAAAACAATGCAGGCAAATGACGTAAATCACACACTGCATAGAAACACATCATTTGTGCTAATAGCGCCACAGTTTTACAACGTTCCCACCCCTGTGCGACTGGGATTTCAGTCACTTCTGCAGTTAAAAGACCAGACAAGCAGCTAACTAACACAGGAGACTACAACGAGAGCAATATTCTCTGGTGCAAGTTTTAAATAAGCACTAAAAACGGAGCCGAGAATCTACTTAATGCTACGTCTAAATTAATGGATGACTGTTGAGCTTGCTAAATTAATGACAAGTGTTTTAAATAAGCAAGTAATAGAAATAAAAAAAGCGAAATAATGCTGATTAAAGTGTCACTTCAGTTCATTTTGAGCTATAATTAAAGTGTCCTCCGGTATGATGGAGACAGTCCAATTCCTGTTTGTTTGCCCGGGGCAGCCGACTGACACTTAAGCCATTAGGGCTGTGAAAAGCTGGAAGTCACTGCCGGCATGCAAATTCTGCTCTGAATTTTTGTAGTTGCCATGGCAATACTATCAGATCCAGTGTAAAACAAGTTGATTAGTAAGCTTGTCACCACACAACTGCAAATACTCCTGAAATTAATTAACATTACTCCTTCTAACCTACCCCTTCTAGCTATAATTAATCCTGCTAAGTATTCAGACCAAACGTCTCTTCTCGATGGCTGACCCAAATTCATAATGCTGAAAGAAGAGAAGGCTTGACAACCTATAAAGGCTGTTCAGGTATAATCTTAAAGGGATAGTTCACCCAAAAAATCATTTCCTCAACCTCTTTTAAAACCGATATGGATTATCTCGGCACCACTCTTTGAACACATATACAGATGTTCAGTTTCTGACGTACTCCTGATGTGTCTTGTTTAAACTGCTCGTTTGCATCGCTGTACAGACCTCAGAAGCGTCAATAACAAGTGTATGGTTTATTTTTAATGTCATCTTGGCATTATTGACAATAATGACATTATATGTTTGTTCGGAGCATTTGACTGCAGAGTGTTTCATAAATGAGGCCAAGTGAAACTCTGTAAACCCTAACGCTCAATATAACGCATTGATTTGAGTTGGCTAAACTTAAACCAAAGAAATTAGTTTAATCAAATTAACTTTTATGAGTATTTAGAACTTTATTTTTCTTTTGAGTTCACAAAATGAAAAGATTTTAAGTAATCTGAATTGTTTAATTGTTGTGAGTTTTATGAAGTTGTTTCTTTTTAATTTTGACAAACTTAAATTGAACTGACACCGGGCTGGGATTTCTATTTCCCAGCATGCTTTGCCATAACACTCGAAAAGGGAGATACAATGCTAAAGTTAGTAGTATATAACACATTTTGAGCAGAATTTACGTTAAGAGGTAGCTTTAGTATTGTTAAATGTTTTGCTATACTAGTTTAGAAGAGTTTCTAGCCAAGTTTCCACTACTAAAAATATTTAAGTTAAGATTACATGATCATTTTAAGTTAAATGTATGTCTTAGCAAAATGTCAGAGTACAAAATAAAAATCTGTTTTTTAGTTTTGCCAACTTATTCAGTGTTACAGTGAACTCTATTAAATCTGAGACCAGCTGCATCACAAACTGTAAGTAAACAATTTGCGAAAATGTAGTTTAAAAAAAAAGGTTTTCAAAACACTAGTATATACGTTCCCCTCACACAATGACGTTAGCCATTCAGAACACTGGCCATTTACTGGCAAGCAATAAAGCAGCTGAAACCTGAAAATAATATTTTTCCAAAAATCCCAAAACATTAAGAAACACATTAAAGTAATTCAATATCCCTGTCACGACCCCTTTACTCTGGAGAACTTTGAGTTCGCTTTAATACAATTAAACCTGCCAAGTGTGAACACATCCATAACATTAATCTGTTTTAGACTCATTGAATGTGAACAGAATCATATACAGATGTTCAGTGTGGTTAGCAAGTGACAGACTCACCTCTACAGGCAGGTCTATGATCAGTCCATGCCGCGAACACCTCCGCCACTCTCTGACACGTGATGCTCTTGGAGCCCTGCAGAACGTGATCTTCATCACAGGTGAACTGGGCTGTCGAACCAATACTGTGGGGACCCATATGAACAGAATGATCAACAAATCAGATCCCACACAAATCCATTAGCGTGACTCAATGATCAGGGTGAAAGGTGCACATAAAAATAAGGCTGTGAGAGCTTAAAGTTGGGTTATATACAGTATAATGTTGTTTATCACGGTATCAGTCATTCAGCCAAGAAGGTACAGAAAAAATAAAAGCTGTATACTCTCAGCTCTATGCAAGCACAAAACATACAAATGCAACGTTGGAGAGGAAAGTAGTGCAACATGCACAAGAGAGGGATAAATAAATGAAAACATATCAAAAGAGCGTCTTATCCTTGCAATCAATACTGCCTTGATACTCCATAAAACTCTAGTTTGAAGCATTCTCCGTTTCTTCAATGATTCCTTCAGTCTGGGGTTGGACAGATCTCAACAAATCCACTCAGCAAACTCAGACACTGACCTTAAATGTGCTTTCATTCGAGGAAACCACAAATAGTAGTTAAACGTAAAAACCTCTGCTTCCAAACATGAAACGCTTCGGCTGGGGTTAGCCATATTTTACAAAAACCTGGAATAACGTCAGTGTCGCAACTAGCCCTAATTAGTGTCTCCATTCACATACTGTTAGCTTCCCTGTGGAGCTGGTATTAGCTTGACATTGGGAAAGTCTTGCAAGGATCTGGACTGGAGAACGTGATTTATATGTACCAGGAGTGCAAAACAGAGGACACTACTGTAAGAAATTCAGATGCTACAATATTAATGACAGGCCTCAGTATAGAAGCGCTGTATCCATAATACAGTTTTCTTCTCTCCTTGGAAAATTTTATATGTAAGGGCTGACTGTGCATCATCCCAGTTATTACACAACTAATCATCCAATAAATAAATATGTGGACATGAAAAATTGATTTAAGTTGAAATGATCTGTATATAACCTTAAGCCCATTACAATGTATAAAAAATATGCAAAGCAACAAGACGAACGCTGCAGCAATATTACAGCAATTTATTACCATATAAGATGGTGAATATTAAGGATAATAAGGCCTCACCGCGAAGGTCTTTTTCATCTTTGCTTAGGGGTATAAAGAAGTTTGAAATACATGAACAATGGTATAATGTTAGAGAACATCTCAAGGCCATTTAGATATGTAACGAAATATGAATTAAATATGTAACGGAAATGACAGTGCTGGGAAAACAACAGTTAAGAAAGCATCTGATATATTTACATTAGCTCTGCAATTCAGTACTCCAGTTATGTTTATTTATACAGCACTTTATACAATAGATTGCTTTAAAGCAAGCAGTTTTAGAGTAATAAACACACAAAAAACAGTGTGTCTATCAAAATTATGTCGTAATTTAAAGCGGCCCTCCAGTGTGTTCATGATTTTACTTGTAGATGTTTGACCGCGACGGATTAGAGAAGAAATGACATGGTCAAAGAGGGCGGAGCCTTAGAACCACACCTCCCTATTACATAATCACCAAAGTTCGCTTTGGCAAGCTGTTCTGAACTCCAGAAACAAACTGCAAAACTTAATTTTGGCTTGATTTTGATCAAAATTACGTATTTCGATCAAAATCGCTTTAAATACATCGGAATTTGCTTTAAGTACTTCGGAAACTTCAGAATGCCTCGATCCATCAGAATATAATTATCAGCACCCAATTCTAGCAAATTCTTCTCTTGGTGGAGAATGCGGGCACTGTTAAAAGTTTCTTTTCAATTTACGGTAAAATGCCGGCAGCTGTGGTTGCCAGAAATTTACCATAAAATATGGTAGCAAGACTTTACGGTAACAAGGTTTTATGGACTTAACGCAAAATTTACAGAAATAAACCGTATTTTAGTATCTGATATAATGTTAAATTATCAACCAATTGAAGTATTAATAACTGTTTTGTACCGTTGTAATACACTGACAACCACCAATCACAGCAGTGATGAGAGTCACATGATATATGCTGATCACATGCAGCTCTTCCACAAGAAACTTAATATTAATATATAGAAGCTGCACAGTGTCATTCACTCAAACACTAAACACCATCATGGTAACACATGAAGACAATAAACATTAATTTAACAACATTAAATGACACATAAAACCATAATGTACATAACTGATTAGAAAAAGACTAAGAAAACTATGAAGAAACAAGTTATTTCAACGAAAATACATCAAATGCGAAATGTCACGGAATAGTGGGAATGTCAATTTACGTTTTTTTCACTGTAAATTATACAATGAGTTGTTGATTTTCACTTTAGAAACTGTAAATTTAACGGTATTTTAAAGTAAAATGACATGAAATTTACAATTAGATCTATCACAGTAATTTACCGCATACAGTAAGGAAAGGTTCTGTTAACCAATTAGCAGTCTTTTACCGTTAAAATCACGATCATTTTTACTCCAGATACCTTCCAGCGAAGTCTTCATTGGGACACACAGTACCTAAGAGTGATTACCTAAAGTCGTTGCCAATGCGCTTGCCATTTTCAGGTTCCCCCGGGTCTGGACAAGAGTTCGAGGCCTGTTTGATTCCTCCTTCGTTTACTGCAAATTCAGAGCACAGTTAGGCATTAGACACATACATACGGATAAACTTTACTTTCGTCATGCAAGCCTCATGCAAACGGCTTCACAGAACGATTCGAAGAGGAGGTGGAGCTTACATGTGAACACAGACACAAACACAACTCACACACATAATTGATAACCGCTAACACATCCTCACTAATGTGTCTCAGTGCAGTTGTCGCTTTGCAAAGAGTGTGACTACATCATTGAAAGTGGAGATACTGACTAAATCCCGGATCGTATTAGCAGCTTTTCATGTTAAATTGAGGGCACACTTTATTATCAGCAGTATTAATAGATTATAGTCGAACACTATGTCATAAAAAAACAAAAAACGCTGACTCAAGGACATTGCGCTGTAACCCTTGTGTAATATATACACATTTATTTAATGAATCAATGTTATTGATTTAAGCTGTTATAAATTCTTTGTATTGAGTCTTCAAGAGGTTTAAGTTGGTTGTTGGCATGGGTGACTAGTCTTTCTATCTGAGGTGGAAAGGACCATGTCACCTCTCATTTTCCAACCGAGTGAACCTGACATCAAATGCAGCCATTTACACGCACATACACACTTGTACTGTACGTCTATGGGGTGATGAAATTAACGCACAATTAATATTTCATTTAACCATGCAGTCAAAAGGCTGATTAGAACAAAGAGAGCTCTCAACATAATGCATAAATGCTCACTATCATCAGCATGCACACAAGCACAGCACTGCAAAATGAAAACGACTCCCACTGTATCGAAGACACACACTTTTGATGCATCCTGACCATATTAAAGAAGTGCAAATGAGTTTCCAGCGCAAATACACTTCATTTTTTTTTTTTGTGCCGTACATATCGTTACGGATGTCAACTGTCCCTAAAACTTTTAATTCCTAAGACAATCTAATGAGGAGCGGTGGCTTCCTTTAATTTCTGTTCAGATTTCTAGCACCTGCTGGATGTTAAATCCCTTTAAATGAGGCTCAAGATGTCTCTCCAGAAATGGCTTGTGATTGAATGATGGAAATGTGGTCAGGACACAGGAGGAATTCACGAATGAAGGATGCATACTGATTGAGGAACATGGTCGGACACGCTGTTCTCGTTGTTTTAACGGCAATTTACTACATTATGCAAATTATGAAACAATTTCAATTACCTCATTTCAATTCTCATGACAGTTCCATTTTTGCTGAATTATTGCATGCTTAAGTGCCGCAATTGTTCCCCCACAGGTTAAAGGTAATGAAAAGCACACGATACAAGTGGAAAGATGAGACAATGTAACATTTAGACATGATTCTGAGAAAAAGAACAAGAAAAACAAATGAAGAAAAACAATATCTTGCAAATTATAAATGGAAGTAAAATAGATTGTTCTTTATTCATCCAAGCAACTTGGAAATTAGTCTCATTTAAAGAGGCAATTCACGCCAGAGCTGTAAACGTCCGTGTACTTTTCTGCAAAGGTTGTCGGTTACCTTGACCCGCTTTTCTTCCAACTATCCATTTTTATGCTTTTTACAGATTCAATCTGGCTTCTTCATTAACTATTAACGTTTCTGGAAAGGTGCGATGGGAAAATGGAGGATGTGCAAATGTCAAACCAATACAAAGGTTGATTTTCTCAAAGCACGGGTGAAACTGTGACTAACATCAAAAGCAACGGCTTTTCAAAATGTGATTTTCTTGTATTTTGCAGAGCTTTGAACATTGATAACTCAGCCCACTCTGTGATTAAGATAATTATATCCATGCCATTAATCCATGCTTACTACTTCAAAGCAACTCCCACTTTACCTGACAATTGACATGCAAAGTCCATGGACTTTTACCAAGATTTGAAGATAATATGTAAATAAATTGAATATACACATACACATTTTGGAATAGCATGTCAAACTACGGGACTTCCCAAAAGTATTTCATGTACTGAAAAAATGCTGGGTTGTTTTAACCCAATTGTTGGATTTAAAAATGCAATTTATAAATTTAACCCAACAGCTGGCTTTGTCCATATTTTTACAGTGTTAACTACCTCACTTTTTGTGTATGTCTATAAAGTCTACAATTCATTGTAAAAATATTACAGACTGTAAAAAGTATTGGTTTAAAGTCGGCGTGAAACGGAAGTTGGGCGGGGCTTGATTTCATCCTCCGGGAATTGATTGGATCGTTGGAGGTTGGGCGTTGCAAACAAAATGGCGACAGATTTGAATGCGATTCTCTGAGAGGCTGTGCACCGATTGCCACCCCCTCATCGGACGTGACCGAAATAGAAGAGAGGTCGTTTCGATGGGAGAGGGAAGGGTAATGTATTTGATTAAAGATTATAATGGTACATTCATTTTTAAAAAATAATGAAGTGCACGGATAAATCATTTATAATAAACACTACAATATTATGTATAAAAAGAAGATTTGTCAAATTTGATTTCATGCCGACTTCAACTTAAAAAAAATAAGTTAACTGGTTGCCTTAACTTAATTGAAATTGAAAAATTGCGTTATGAAGAAACATTATGTTATCTGAACCACATAAATTATCTAATTTGATTTGACAGAAGAACAAATTTTGTGATAAAAAATCATGAACATATTTTTTTTACAGTGTACATGATTTATCCATTAATGCTTTCACACGGTGCCTAAAAAAAAAAATGTTGGTTTAACTTAAAAAATCAAGTTAACTGGTTGCCTTAAAATTTTAAGTTCATTGAAATGGAAAAATTGAGTTATGACAATGAAGGAGATTGATTTAATCATTAGAAACTCAAAATATTTTGTTATCTGAACCACATTAATTAAGTTGATTTGACAAAAGAAGAAATGTTGTGATTACAAATCATGAACATATTTTTTTTACACTGTATAATATCCAGCTGCCTTTCTTCAAAAATTGGTAATTTACCTCAGTGAAAACATCTCGACTTGGCAGAGTTTAACTTGAATGGAAATCTCTAGGATGTGATGAATGTGGACAACATTTTTGTAATTCGGAGACGCACAAAAACAGATGAATGTGTGTAATATGTGAGATCTGGTTAATACGTATAATCACTCTATATCTTGCTATCCTTTCATTCATTTCATCATTCACCATGCACTCAACTCATCCATCAAATAATGGCCACAAAAAACAAACAAATTAACCCTGAACACAAAGGGAAAAAAGTTAGATTCAAAACAACCCTACAACATTCAGTAACATCACTGAGTGTAGGAGTACTGTGAATATGTTAAAAAAGCATTGTTGTATCTGCACACAAGTGCATGGTGTATTTGCAGACATGCGTGGGATTTAGGTTACAGATTTAGGTGCTTGTGATGCAAACACTGTGATGCTTTGAGCTCTGCAAGTGCACTGAATGGGGCTTGACTTCTATATGAAAAATGATACAAAATCAGATTTTCTCTCTCATTCTGAAAGAACAATTACATTAAAGCGAGCAGCTTGTTGTTGAATCCCAGTCAGTTGAGCTGACAATCGAGCAGTGCATATCATCTCTGTCGGGTGAAAACCTTTTATCTCCATATTGTGTATTTTACATTGTTTCCCCATAAATCGTAACTATTGGACTGCTTTTACATCTGTCTGTGGGTTTTGCAAACATTTAACCAATGGAAACGCCATTGTATCTCCATTTGATCCTAAAATACATATTTGCTGGTGAAAATACTCAAATTGGGCTTGATTTTGGTTCAATGTTAATAATGTAATGACACCTGCAAGTGTCTGGCCATATATAAAGCCACAAGCAATACCACTAAAAAGTCCAAGGTGTTGGACGTATGACGTTTCTGCCCGACAGCGACGTTATGTTTATCCTAAAAACAAATCATGTAGTTGAAAATATTAAAGTTCAGTTCATGCCGCTTATGCAAGCCATATAATTTACAAAAACAATACATGGATGAGCATTACATGTAAATTAGGATAATTATAACTGTAATCATGCCTTAAAAATTTCAAGAAAAATAATAATTATCTTTAGATATCTGGTTGAAGAAACAGTATACATCCACAAAACATTTTAGTACATTTAGGGGACAGTTTATAGTAATTTTGTCTACAAAAGTGTCAATTTTGTGCGCATTTGCGGAGTAATGATGCATTCAGCGACGGGTGGACTGATCTCGTGACCGCCTTTTGGAGAAAGCTTGATCACATTCAGCCCTGCTTTTAAATGCGAGTCTGTGTTGATAAAACACTTAAAATGGGATTAAAATGCCCAAAATGACAGACTCTGGAGTCTTTGTAGCCAGATAATTCGCTCTCCCTCGTAAAAACGCCTCGTGATTTTCAATTAGTCATGATTTCTGCAGGATCATTTATTCTTCTGATTGAATCTGTGACCAGTTATAGTCTGATGTAATTCCTCTATCTTCAGTGATGAAATTTGTTGAAACCTCGTATAACATAAACAACTCTCTAAGTATTGAAAACGGCTAAAAGTAAAAGTGCATTTAAATATCTGCTTTAAATATATCTTGTTATATTGTATTGTTTAGTCGACCTTTGTGATTAAGACTCTCAATCAGAAAAAAAAAATAGAAACAAGAGCTTTTATTTTGTACATTTACAGATTCAGTGTAATTTAAAAGCTAGAGTAAAACATCTTAACTTCAGATTACACTGATACATATAACTCAACATTTTACTGTAAAACAAAAATATGTTCATGGTTTGTAATCACAACATTTTTTCTTTTGTCAAATACACTTAAATAATTTATGTGTTTCAGATAACATAATTTAAAAAAAAGAGTTTCTGATGATTAAATCAATCTCCTTCATTGTATTAACACATTTTTTTTCATTTCAATTAACTTTTTTTTTATTTTAAGGCAACCCGGTTACTTATTTTATTTATTTATTTATTTATTTATTTATTTATTTTTTGTATTTAAACCAACAACTACTTACTACCCAACCAGGGTTATTATACTTAACCAAAACTAAAACAATTAAAAGCATTTAGG